AAAAATAGTTACATTTATATTTTATTTAATGTTATTTTTTCAAAATTATCCTAAATATACCAGCATGCAGAGCCGACGACACCGGGTGTGCCGGGTTCCCCTCTCCCCCCCCCCTTCCCTCTGCCACATCAACAACATTGTTTGTAGTCTGAAGCAAAAAGATCAAAGAAATTATAAAAACCAGATCTAATCACTAATCAACCAACGTTCACAATCGACTACACCGTTAAACGACCAAGCACTCGACTGCAAACCATCTTTCAATATCTAGGACACTCTTGTTTCCAACCCAAAAATTATAAATTGCTTACAAACTCAACATCAAATAACTACAATAGGCAACCTCTTCCAATAAGCTAAAAATCAAAATTAAAAAACTAACACAACTAAAAGAGAAACCAGAACAACTCATCTACTGGGTAAATAACCCTTGCTCACTTAATGGCAAAAAATTGACAAACTGAGAGCCAAAATTACCTCTATAGACACTTTACTTTAACCGCACATAACTTTAGTTACCGAAACTTGGTTCACCGACACACCCAACACAAAAATAGCAGGGTATCGGTTATTCAATAAAAATAGAATCAGAAGAGGAGGAGAAGTGACCTTATACACACAAAAAAGTCTCAATTGAAATTACACAAAAACTAACTAACTCAAACGCACCACTATCAAGCAAGTGTGGATCAAAATAAAATGAGCAGTTCAATGCTCAATAAAAAAATAAGCTTTATATGTACTGCCTTTGACAAATGCTCAACCTCACTCGCGTACGGCGACTTCAACCTTTAACCTTTTTAACTTATAGCAGCACTCATGAGAAACCTTCAAAAAACACACTTGACTTGATCCTAACCAATAAATCAGATCGATTAATCGACATAAAAGAAGCTAGTCCGCTTGGCTACACAGTCAAAAGCCAGATACACTGTTTTGTTGTGGGAAGTATAGCTCTCTTTGACCTAAAAACTAGAGAAACTGAATTTACCGATTCCTCTAACCTCTATAAGAAACGTCTGATCTGGAGAAAAGCCAATTACAACTCAATCTCCACGCATATAGAAATGTTTGACTGGCATTCGGCTCTTGACGTCTTGACTATTTTAAAAAAATATCAATTATTTATCAACAAATACATCAAAATAACCTCATTACACGTCCCATCAACGTCCTGCCGATACACTAACGAGTACAAAATATGGGTGACCAATAATGTGGCGAAGACTGTCAAATTGAAAAGCAAACTCTGGGGCAAGTCTATCGCTGCTAGCTAAACAAAAAAGCTAATTCTACGCAAAATGCTTAAACCTGCAAGCAAAGCAGTAAAAAAGCAGTCAAATCAGCAGTTCTTACTTACGAAGAGGAACTGGTAAACAGTGACCGAAAAATAATCCACTTTTATGTTAAAAGCAAATAAGAAACACGCGACTGCATCCGAGAACTTGAAACAACTAATAATCTAATAACGACCTAAAGTAATCTGTAGCACATTAAACAATTATTTTCAATTTGGAATTTAACAATTTTTTTTTCTTTAATTGGAATAAACTTAACAAATAAAATTTCTTATCTTAATGACAAATCAATTGATGAGTTTATAACATCACCTAATTCAACTATAAATTTTTAAAACCTAAACACATAGCATAAATCATTAAAACGAAATAAGGCAAATGGGACTGATTACATCAATGAAAATGTTGTAATAAACTCCTTTGACGTTTTGAAAGATAAATTCTTTAAAATTTGTTAAGCATCTATTGCTCAAAGATCCTTTCCAGACTCTCGAAAAGTAGCAAAAATAGTTTCTATTTTTAAATCAGGTGGTTATTGCAACATTACAAATTATCTTCCTATTTCAGTTCTTCCAGTTTTCTCTAAAATATTAGAAAGAATAACGTATAACAGAATCTGCAATTATTTTGTTAATACTAAACTTTTATATAATAAACAATTTGGCTTCCAGAGAAACAACTCCACTGAACACGCCATACTCCAACTAACACGTAGCATTTCTAATTCTTTTATAACTTCTCATTATACCCAAGGAGTATTTATCGATTTTTGATACTGCCGATAACCACATTCTATTAAAAAAATCAGAACTCTATAACATTAAAGATAAATCACTAAGCTGGTTCAAAAGCTATCTTAGTAATCGTAAGCAGTTCTTTAATATCCAAGACTCTTCTTTGTCTTTATTAATGAATGTAACATCGGGTGTCCTGTAGGTATCCATAGTTGGACCCCAATTTTTTTTTATATATATAAATGACCTTCACAAAGCCTCTAACTTAACCACTATAATTTTTGCTGATTACACAAAAATATTCCAATCTTATGAAAATAAAAATACACTTTTTAATAATATGACACAAGAATTGAATAAAATCTTATATTGGTTTAAGAAAAACAGATTGTCCCTCAATAATGATTTAAAAAATGGACACTTTTCTATTCAATATCCAGAAAAAAGTGTTTACCAAATACGATGTCCGACTGCTTTATTGATAATACAATAGTAAAAAGTTACAAAACTTCTTGGAGTTCTTGCAAACAAAAACTTATCCTGGAAACAACAAATATAATAATAATATCGATAATATCTCCATGAAAGTTGTTTAAATATTTGGAATTATATATAAAATTCGACAAATGTTAAACAAACAATAATTAAAACAACTATATCATTCGTTTTTCCAATGCCATTTAAATTATGCAAATATTGTATCGGAAAGCACGCACAAAACTAAACCTAAATCTCTTTATCAACATCAGAAACATGCAGCCAATTTAATTTTTTTCGTAAATTTTTTAAATTCAAAACCACTTCTGAGAGAAATGAAAGCCTTAAATGTATACGAACTAAATGTTTTAATATTTTATGTTTCATGTTTAAATATAAAACCATTTATCTCCTGATGTATTTATAAATCTTTATCAAATACAATCTTCGCAATGGAAAAAATCTTCAAGAAACTTTCTGCCAAACTATATTTGAACAACTATTTATTTTTTATATCGCTGTCATTATTTTTGTCTTTGAAATGGACTTTGACTTCTTTCAAACAAATATTAAAAGAAGTTTTTTCAGCAAATATTAAAAGAAGTTTTTTCAAGAAGTCTTTTCAGCAGAAAATATTTTTTCTTGTTTTTAATTCTTTTGTTTCATATATTATATTCAGTATATTTATATTTAAAATGCACAGTTATATATAGTTTAAGTTGATTTATTTTTATTGGTTAATTTGATTTTATTGTTATTATTATATTTGCTATTGTAGAGGGCTTCGTGATAAGATCATATAGTCTTCAGGAAGCGCTGCCGATTATATTTTTTAAAAAACTATTCTGTAATTGTAGTTTTTTTTTGTTGAAGGCAATTAAATATACAAAAAAAAAAAAAAAAAAATCAGTATTTGAAATCGACCCACTAGAACCTTTTCCAAAATTCAACCCTCGTTTCAAAAGCATGCACCAACCAATCACATTTGCATCATCTCATACTGTTATAGAAAAACTTTCGTACCTGAACAAAACCAAATCGATGAGCTTTGACAGCATTCACTCACGCGTCCTGAAATACTGTGCTGCAGGTTTTGCTACCCCACTATACAGTATACTTTCTGATTTTCTTAAAGCTGGCGAATTACCTTCTCAATGCAAAAAAACTGAAGTTACTCCTATTTCCGAAAAAGGCTGCAAGTCAAATTCCTCAAACTATCAACCTGTCTCACGCACTTGAGTCTCTTAAGGTATTGGAAAGCCTTGTACACAGATATATTACTGACCACCAGAACAAAAATAAACTCATCAGCTATGCTCAACACGGGTTCCAAAAAGGAAAAGGTTGCGTTACAAACCTACTTGAAATTTTAGTCATCCTGACTAAAGCGGCTCGCAAAGTTTCCCAACTGATATGATATTCACACACTTTGCAAAAGCATTCAACAAAGTTCCACACCGACGTCTGCTGCACAAGCTGAAATCTTACGAAGTGTCCAACAACTTGCACAAGTGCATCGAGATCTGGTTAACCAACCGCTTACAACGTGTAACAATTGGTAACAATAAATCTGATTGGAAACAGTCTCTGACGGTGGTTTTTCGACCACTTCTTTTCCTTATCTACATTAACAATTTGCCAGACAAAGTATTACACCACTTAAAAAAGTATGCAAGTGACTGTAAAATAATCGGAGTTATCAAATGTAACCATTATATCATAAAACTCCTAGCCGACATCAACGAAAAAGTGAAGTGGTCGCACACATATGTTTATGTTTTTTAATATCAATAAGTGCAACGTTACGTGCACTGGGCGCAGCAACATCGAAAAATCGACGCTTGCGTAATATATTTCGTCGCGTTTTTTTTTTGACATTTTTTCTACAACTTAAGTTATCATGATTTCAATTAATTTCTTTAAAAAATTATTTTTTTCTTACCAAATTTAAGTTTTTCAGAAACGAATTTTTAATGCAAGTACTCTAAGACTTTCAATTTATACATACTGTCTTCCTTTGTCTTTTAATTTTTTGATATAAAATATTTGAAAAAATTTGCGAAACGATTTTACAAGTAATTAGATGAATTAATTTTTTTTTGCTAGTTTCTTGTGTATGAGAATATGTCACAATTAATAATAATTGAGAAAATAATGTAGCAATTAATATATTCTTGTATACAGTGAGAAAATAATGTAGCAAAGTTCTGCATTTACCATTAAAAATAAGTATAATGCTATGTTCCACAATGTCGTTAATAGTTTTATGATACATAGATCAAAAGCTATTTTTTTTCAAGTTAACTTTATAAATTTAAAATTTCAACACAAAGTACTCGCGCTTAACTGTAAACTTTATTAATTTAATTTGTCAGCGTTAGACGATGCTTGTTAAAAAACAAAATTTTCTAAAATTTTAGTTTTAAGTTAAATTAAGTTAAAGTTTTTAACATTAATTAATTTCTTTAAAAAATTAATAAATATTCCTCCATTTAGTGTTTCAAAATACTTTTCTTTATCAAATTTAATTTTACATGGGTGTTTACATGTTTATTTCTCCACTGTTTTCAACTCACAAGAAAATTTGAAATCTCGACGCAATTCGCTTATTTTTCTTGAAAAACTATGCATTAATAAAATATATAAAAGAAATTCGCATATAGTTAAGTATATTTTTAAGAACTATTTTTTAAAATTTGTGTAAAACTATTTATAGTAGAAAAATAGAACATTTAAAACAAAAACATGTAAAAAGAAAAAAGATAATAAAAAACTAATTTGATATAAAAATTAGAAAATCACCAACAACCAAATTTCCATAACCAAAATCCAAAAATATTCTTTTTAGTCAGAAATACTTTGAAGTGTAATCAGACCTTTCTTTTTACAATATAATAAGATATCTTTCAACATATTTACATTGCTATGCACAAAATTTACAATAACTTGCAAAAGAAGAAAAATAATTTTTAAAAAAATCAAGAAAAAAAAAGTTCAAGTGTGTGATAAAAAGTGTTTTAAAAATATCAAAAAATGGGGGTTTGGTTTTAAAAATATCCAAAAAAAGGAGTTTGTATATATAGAGCCTTAGTAATCTTTTTACCTGTAATCCATATTACTTTAAAGGAAAAAAATTGAAAATAAAATAAGGTTTATACAAAATGAGAACTCTACTAGTAGAGGAAAAAAATTAAAGATAAAAATTGAAAAACAAATATATAACAAAACATAACAAAAAGTTGTTTAAAAATATATATATATATATCTGTTTTAACCTTTTTGTTGTTAAATATTGAAAAATAATATCTTTTTTATGTTCATGTCCTTGCTTGTCTTTTTCTTATACCTAAATAAAGCATAAACTCTTTTTATTTATATATTCATATTTTTAAAACAATGAACAAATTTTTTAAATGTTTTAAAGAAAATTATACACATTTCTTTGAGTCTGTACTATTAAATCAAGTAAAAATTATAATCTTTAACCATCATGATTAACAAAAAAGAATAATATCTTTTAATGCTATGGTTTTAAGTAGTTATTTTTTAAAGTATATATATATATATATATATATATATATATATATATATATATATATATATATATATATATATATATATATATATATATATATATGTATATATATATATATATATACATATATATATGTAATAATATAACTAGTTGTTGAAGAAAAAAATTGGATAAGTGTTCAAAAAATGCCCAATTTCATAGAATGGTTTCGATGGTAAACTATCTGAACACTTACATCACCTTCATAGGATGGTTTCAATCATAAACTAACTGAACACTTAATAGTAAGCAACCGGGTTGATATTTGACCGAGGCTGAGGCTAGATTTAATAAAATATAGCTAGGGCCATGGCCTGGTTTGTGACTGGCTGCATATACATTTATACATCCTAAAGTATATTTTTTTAAATTCAAAATTTATTTAATATTTTGTATACATACATACACATACACGCATTTTCTTTTCTTAACTAAAGCTCATTCATACAATATGTAAGGCACTCTCTTCAAGATTTCTTACTTCTACCACTATCATTTTCTCCTGTAGCTACTACCTCTCTACATGTTGATACCTAAATCACTTTAATCTTTTCTAACAAATGTTGTTGGATACAACATTTTTTTCTAATCTATCTAAGATTATGCCTCTTTTTCATCCACCTGATCATCTTCTATTTCAGCAAATACTACACCATATAAATATTAAAGTTATATAAACATGAAAAAATATTGTATGCCAGCATCTAAATAAATAGCAAACATATGTTTATATCTATAATATGTATACATAAAGTGCATCTCGGAAGCTTTTATTCCTTCTGGAATAAAAATGGGAAGCTTTCATTCCTTCTCTTCAATTCTAAGTCAAGCCTTATTCTACACAATATATTTTACTATCTTGAGCAGTTGCTTTAAATTTAAAAAAAGTGTTCTCCTGGACTCTCTTCAATTTTCACTAAACTTTTTTTAGTGGTTCCAATTTTTCAAAACTCTAGAAAACACTTTATTTTTTATATAAAAGTTTTGAGATTATTCAATTATTTCTTTCAAATATTATTAATTGAAGGCCTCTTTTTTATTTTAGACAACCCTACTATATTTTTATTTTTAATTTAATTTAAGGCAACTGATCTCCTAAATTAGAACACTTCGATTCAAAACTTGATCCCCTTAATCAAAGCAGATCACTTCTTTAAAAAAAACAACTTAAAATCAACAGAAATCAATTTAAAATGATTATCAACTTTGGAATGACAATTTAATCAACTCATTAAAAATTTTAAATAGGATTAAAATTGCCTGGGAATAATGAAAATAAAAAACAACCTTTGATTATACCAATGATTAAGTAAGAAAAACTTCATAGTTTCGATCAAGGAAACTTTGTAATATCATGCTTGCAGCAATTTATAAGATAAACATATGTTATTACTTGCATTTTAGATCCCATCGCATTAAACACAAAAAATTGTATAACCCATAGAAGTATAATTTACCAGTGCAATCATTATAGTAAAAAAATGATACAAAAAAACTTGAAAGGTGCCATGCATTTATTGAGGGAAAGCTTTTCAAAATAAAAATGTAGAATTATGTAAAAAGTTAAAAACATAGAAAAACATACCTTTGACTAGAAAAATGCAAATGTTCTAGTTAAGATGCTGTTCTAATGTCAGTAACTTTCTCTATTTTTCTCTATTTATATGTTGTAGTATTAGCAAAGAGAGATGATGATCAGATGGATGTGTGATATGACTCAAACAAAACAAAAAAAGAAGCCATGATTTTAGACAGAAGTCAAGAATAGTGAGTGTATTGGACAAAGTTAATCAGAGAAGATTTAGGTATTTTAGGTATGTTGACCAATGAGATGCAGATGACTTAAATATCAGCATGTTAACTTAAGGAGAAAAATGTAGAGGTAATAGTATTAGAAAAATGTAGAGGTAATAAAACCCAGCCCTGGCCAAGTATCAAACCCGGCCCCTTATTACATACATACATACATTACAAACATACATATATACCTACATACATAACTACATACATACCTACATACATACATACATACATATATATAGTTGTGTCAGCAATGTAAAACGTCTTTTTTCCAAGTCTGGAGTATTTACTCAACGTAGTTAAGGATAGATCCGAAGAAATATATAGCGTTTAGGCCCTTTCGTTTTCAAAAAATGCTGTTTTATTTTGTATGAATTTTGATTGGTTTATTTTTTTAAAAAAATCACGAAGCTTGTTTTATTTTGTTTACAAATATTCAGTAATTTAAAATCTACGAGTTTAAGATTTTAACTAATTACATTGAGGCAATAGTTATATAAAAACTGAAACCTTTTCTTTTAGTAATTTATTCAAAGGACTATAAAGAGATTATGAAAGTAAATTGCTGATAAAAAAATAATGTGAAAACTTTGATTTTAACGTTTTTACTGTTTACAGAAAGAAAAAATATGAGGTTTTTAGCCATTTATTAAATATTTTGATGTTGTAAACATGGTAGCTTTTTAATTTCAAATAAAAGAGATATTTTTGTAATGTAAACACTTAACACATTTATTTTACCTGTTTTCATGACGCTGCCCCATTGCGTTTTATGTATTTTAGTGGTAGTTTTATTTTGTTTTATACTTTCATTGAAAAAAGATTTATGAAAAAATAATAAATTATATAAGAGAAGTTTAAATTCTTGATACAACAACTGACTACAACTGATGATACAACAACAAACTACTCTCTTGACAAAAAGCCAGCACCAAGTATAGAACTTTGTAGTATCCCAAAACCTATGTATTAGAAATAGAATGTTATACTTATCTCTGTTAATGATACTGTTGAAGATTTTCTAAAACACATTTTTCTATGGGAAAAAAATATTTGACCAAAAGAAAAAAAAAATAAAGTCCTTAACTTCTGAATTTAGGCAGGGGCCCAAATACGTTAAACACTGTCAAAAAGAGTTTAGAATAGCCCCTGCAATGACTGTCACAATGAAAATCACAAAAAATGCCAGTCAGCCTGCTGGTAGTAGTAAGTAGTGATAGGGTGAATCTGAAGAAGAACTAAATAAAATATTTAGAGAGATCTTAGTCTGAACCACCCAAAGGTGAACAAGGAGCTAGAATCAGAGACAATACACATATGAAGGAATGAAAATAAGGGTATTGGACAATTGCAAATTGATATGTGCCAAAGGTATTTAGTGATCATAAAAGTATATTATTTGAAACAATCACAATTGTTGGTCTTAACATTCCTTAGTAAAAGTTTTAATAATAGCTTTTACTATAAATATTAATTCTTATTCAGTTTGGAAATTTGCTAACCTGAAGCTATTTTAACCTAAAGCTATTGTCTTAAAAAAAGTTCCATTTTTCATAATTACTCTAAAACATAACAAGTTAAAAAGAGTTTCAATATTATTTTTTTAAATATTATTGGTTTACAAAAATATTGGCAAAATGAAATTTTATAATATATTATTTTACTAATAGAGCAATACAGCGTTTTGCAGAGACTTCTACTCCAATTTAAAAAAACATTTTTGTCAGGCGACCACAAAATAATACAGAAACTGAAGAAATAATTTAGATTTTGAAAAACCTAATGCTAAACATATGAAATTATTTTAATGTTTTAGTCAACTTATATTCGTCTGTGCTGTAATATTTTAGCCTCATTTCAAAGTTGGCAATTTTTGTATATAGTACAGCAACAACAAAAATTCCACTTAAATTCGGCTTTATGATGCATTTGGTTAATAAGCTAAAAACTAATGTGTTTGCTTTCAGTACATTTTGTGATTATGGATGAAAAATAAGTATATATCTTAATTATATAAATAGCTATTTTAAATTAAACAGAAATCATAACTTTAAGATATTTACAAATAGTTTAAATCTAACAGAATATAGCTAACTTAAAATATAATAAAATAATAATACATATAATAATACTAAATATTTTTATAAATTGAGATTTCCTTTATTCTTATAGAATTAAAATAAAAAGGCCTTTAATAGAATTAAAGGTCTCTAAATTTTAAATTAAGAGACCTTTAGTAGAATTAAAGATCTCTTAATTACTTAAATAAAATTGCTTAAAAGAAAAAAATACTCATAATAATTAAGAAGTGATGAAAATTTATAGGTTAACCAAATTTTAAAATGATATATGTTATTATTAAATGTCATAAGATAATTATATAATAATTAATGTCATATGTCATAATAATTGAATGTTATAAAACTTAATCTCACTGTCACTCAATTAATGATATACTAAATCTTATAACGTTGAAGTTATTTTCAAAAATTAAACATTACCTCTACGTAACGTCATACTTGACGGAGATATTCTCTTTTTCTTGGGAACTGTCATGCTGTTCTTAGATTTATCTTTTCTTTTTTTGGATGTATTTCTTAATTTATCGTTTTTTTCGACGTTAGAACAACAAGGGGGGTCTTCCTTAAAATTAGAATTCTCATTATACGTTTCTGAACTTATGGATATCCAATTATATTTACCATGCATTGGTTTTTCAGTATCAAAGTCAAAGTTGTACTTTTCAGTAAACTCTTTTTTAATTCTAATCTCTTCGTTCTTCAAATCTGAAAGAATTCTTTCATGATCAACTGGCCAAAGCATTCGTTTAACTTTACGAGTGCGTAAATAATATATGCTTTCTCTCTCTAACATTTTAGATTTCAAAACAAATATAATAAAAACACATGGAAACAATTCCCCCACTTTTTTGAAGTAGCATCAGCTGAGGTGAACTTTAAATTTTAACGGTCATTATTAGAAACCATTTTTTTCCCGCTTCTCCTCGTGATTTATTTCTGGAAAATATATTGTTTTATATCTGGAAAAAATACTCTAGATATAAATTTACTCTATGGTTGAGAACATTGCCGTTTAATTACGTCACCGTGTTAAATCAAATGCAAATTTAAAATTGTCCAATTGAATTTGTTACTTTAGCGTTTTAAAGTTTATTTCTTAAAAATCGACTTTTTAAAAAGCATTTTATTAATTGTAGAATGCTCTAACATTTGATATTCTTCAGACACGTTTATCATATACCTAAAAAATTTTTAGACCACTAAATGCTTTGATTAGCTCCGATAACGCAATAATCTGTTTTTCTCATTTCATTCAAAAACTGTTTATTTATTTGATTAATAGCGTCCAATTAATTAATAATATTTTAATCAGTAATGTTATTGTTTGGCAAACCAAAAGGATAAACTATTGTGTGGGTGTTTTCTAGTTTATCCAAAATATCATGTAAACAACTTTTATATTTTCACTGTAAACCTTCCCTAAGAATTTGATACATGACTCCTGCACGGGGTTCTGTTTTTGATAAATATTTTAGTTACCTTTAGCAACCTGAAATATTTTTGAGACGTTTCGGAGAAGAGTCAAGCCATTTAGGATGACATAGAAGATATATTGGTTCAGAGGTTACATAGACTTTTATCTTGACTTATCTATGATTATCTATGATATATGACTTATATAGCTATGATATATGACTTATATGGGAAAAAGCCGTTTATTCTTGGGTAAACTGTTATGATGAAATAGATAACAGTAATAATTACTTAATTATCTTAATTAATTAGTAATAATTACGCTTAGAAATAGCAGCAACAAAAGAATGAGAGATAAAAAATTTTTATGAAATTAAATTGTCTTTTTGACGGATTACTATGTGAGAATTGAAATGTATATGAGAGATTTTATCAATAATAAAATGAAAGTAAGGATCTAGTACTGCTAAACAATGCAAAAGTTAATACAGGTAACGTTCAGACAGTAGAAAAAGTATAATTAGAGACGTTAAGTGAAACTTAAAGACAGAAAAGAAAAAAGAACCTATGAAAAAAATCAAGAAATAACAGTAATGAAACACCTGCATATTAAAAAAAATAATATAACAAATAAAAAAACTTTTTATAAAACCACGTTTTTGTAATGAACTAAAAAGTAGAAAATAATTTTCTCTTGTGGCTATAGAAATTTTTGAAAATTAATTGAGTCGATAGTAAGTGACATGAAAACTTTTGATTATGAACTCTTAATAATTACGATAATATTTGTAAAATTTTAAACGAAAAACGTGGTGCGCATCTTGTCACTTTAAATGATCATCATCGTCCTTAATTACTTTAACTATCGCTTCCATCTTCTGTTCTTTTTTTTCGTTAAATGCGCACCACGTTTTTTGTTTAAAATTTTACAAATATTATCATAATTATTAAGAGTTTATAATCAAAAGTTTTCATGTCACTTACTATCGACTCAATTAATTTTCAAAAATTTCAAAAGCCACAAGAGAAAATTATTTTCTACTTTTTAGTTCATTACAAAAACGTGGTTTTATAAAAAGTTTTTTGATTTGTTATATTATTTTCTTCTTTTTAATTTTTGATGGGTGGAATTTTATATTTTGTAAACAACTGATTTTGTTTTTATGCTGCGGTCCATTTAAAATCACAGCGACAATTAAATTTGGTTTTTTTATTCGAAAATTTTTTATTTAAAGCGACGCGTCAAATTGCGGCGACGCCTCCAAAAGTTTCGCATTAATAAATTTTATTTTGCTGAAATTGTTCAAGAAACTCGGCAAATCATGGTAAAAGTAGTATAATATTGCATTGTCATCGGGTTCTGAGCTATAGTAAAAGTTTCAGAGCTCTAGCTAATCGAAAAGTGGGTTAAAATTGAGTTGCAAAATTCCACCCGGACAAACAAACAAACAAGAAAGCGAGCTAATAAAAACGTGGTAAAAAAGGAATAATGTTAAATTAAAAAAATTATGCGAAAAAAATAATTTGAAATTAGAAAAGTAAATTTGAACCACAACCAAATACAATATTTGTAAATAAAATAAGTTGCTGCCCAAGCACCATTTAAGCAAACACGTTGCCCTGGAAGTATGTTAGCTTTTTTAAATTCCTATTCATTTATAATGAAAATTTATAAACAAAATATAAAAATAATCAAATAAATTCTATGGGGGTATGCAGGTTTTCTGTAAACGCAGAAAGTTTTTTTATTATTATTAAAAGAAGAAACTTTTAATTTGTTTATTAAATTTGAATCTGCAAGCATAACATTATTGTGTTTTTTCTTTTAACAGGACCGTATCTATCAGAGTATACTAGTATGCATATATTACCGTAGTATGTATGTGCTTTTATACAACAGAACCATATGTATAGGCCATTAGATGCAATTAGTGGTTGGAACTTTATTATTAAGCACATTTAAAGTATTCTTCTTGCTCTTTAAGGCAACATATTGATCTTAAAGTTTCATCAATAAACTCCCCAACAGTTATTAAGAGGGGTTTTTTAACATGAATATCAGCATATATATCTAGATTTAAATTGATCTGTAAATGTCTTCATTGTATAAATATAAGCTCATTATATGAATAAAAATGATACATATTTGAAGCACTATTTTTGGAAAATAAACTATTTGTCACCTGATGTAGTGATAGAATTGTAACTTATTAATTTAACAGTAAAAGATCAATTAACTCAAATATATCTTTAAATAAAAATCAAAATTTTATTTTGGCTTTATCCTCTGATATGTCGTCTAAACTAAATCTTGGATAACTGCTGTAAGGTTATTCGATTTATAAACATTGCTAAGTAATAACAGCTATTCATCGTTTATTTTGTTATCAGAATGAGAAATAAGATTACTTGAGATTATTTTTACATATTGATTTAAAAATTTGATTTTTAAATGCATCACTTTTTTTTTTGTACCAAGTGAAATTTTCGCTTCAAAATTAAATACATAGTTATTCAAAAAAATTCATACAGAAAAGAATACAGAATTATACAAAACACCTTTCAAACCGTGACGTTTTCATACTAATTTCTGTAACGCCAATTTACTAATAACGCCTAGGACAACGACGACTTAAAAAATCATTATTTTTTCGTAGTTTTTGCAGTTGGGGTAATAATTTTTGTTATCTGTATTATTAATGAACTGAAATGCATTCAAAAATTTTTTAGCTACAATATTAAGAAAGATAAGCACAAGTAGATTAAAATTTTACAAAAAATGAAATTTCATAAGTTTTTCTGTTCTATTTTGCAATACTTAAATTACAAATAAGAATATACTTTATTTTGCTTTTGAAATATGCACTTTTTTTATAATAATTAAAATTAAAAATTGATTTAAACAACTTATGAAAGCGCTCTGGGTACATTAGTTTTGACATATACATGTTATCAATTTATCAATTATCATGCGTCATGAGTCTAAATTAGGGATGCAAAGTCCTACCGATTTTAAGAAACTCTAGGTAAAATAATAGGGACTCCTTGAATTATGGACTCCGAATTTTTTTAACTTTTTTGAGTCAGTTAACCTTTAAGGGATCTCTTTTAGGGTAAATTAGAGTTTTTAGGGATGAAATAGTCCCTGAAATGCTGGAGTAGACTATATTAATTTCAATTATGCTTTGAAAAATTACAATTTATTTAAAATTATAATTATAAACTTTTTCTTTTAGGTCAAAGGTATTTTTTATTAATATAATTTAACTTGTTTATTTCAAGTGTACAGATGGTAGTGGTGTAGTGGTATAATGCGGCAGTATATACAATTAAATAAAAACGCATTCGATATTTTGATTTAAATACGCGTTTAGTTTACAAGGTATTTTAATAACGATTTATTGTGAGTTATTTAACTATTTATCTTATTTTGGGAAGGATATAAAATAAGAAAAGACCGTTGCGTGAAGAAACAATTTGTGCTTGGTAACTGAATTTGGGATTTTTTGCTTACCAGGCGAGCGATAAATTATAGCGACTCAAAAAGTATTACAAATTTTATTCTGAAGACATTTAAAAGATTTCAATTGCTACACTTGTAATATGATACTTTCTAACTGTGTTTAAAGAAACTTTTAGAACTATTTTATAATAAAACCATATCTGTTAGTTTAAACAATATAATTAGAAACCACGTTACAAAAATACTTTCTTTACTTTGGCATCAACGTAGGCGTCAAACGTCAGACTTCTTGATTCTGTGAAAAAAATTACTTGTCCCACATGCGTTCTTATGTGGGTTCCGTGTTTGATTTATGGGAACCCACATAAAACCCATGTGGGACAAGTTTTTTTTTCACTGGGTCTAAGCCATAACTCTAACTACTACACTACGGCTGCAGTAGATTTACGTGTGTAAGTATTTGTGCCTAAGGTAAAGTTGACCCGACTTTTACACAGTAGAGCGAAGAAAACTAAAATTAAAGTTCTTATTGTGTTTTTTAACGGAAAACCGGGACAACGATAACCTTAACCTAAGCATAATTAGTCATCTTGCCATCATAATGTCTGCTATAGACAACGTTTCATAAACTAGCGGCACGCATTTTAATAATTTATATGCCAGTCAAAATTAAAAAAACCCGGCAACTTCTACCTCCTCCAAGAAGACAAAAGTTAATTGCTTTTTTATTAATTGACAAGTAATCACTAGTTTTTGCATCCTTTCCTAAAACTTTTTTTTTATCTATTTTTTATTGTTAAACTCGCGCACAAAGTGCAAACTTTAGTGTTACTCTTTTAATGTTGGAACTTTTAACATTTTTAACGCTATATAAACCTTAATAAGTAAACCAATTTACAAAAATTTATGCAAATCAAGCTAATTACTAAAACTCAAAAACCAAAACTTACATGATCTTACAGCATGAATTAATCGTTTGTAATTAAAACTTGATTAAAACTCAATAAAAAATAAAAAATAAAATAAAACGAAAATTAGAAGCCGTGATGTAGTAGTTGAGTCTTGTTTTCGGAACTTGAGGTCCGTGGTTATAAGTTGACTCTGGTCATATATGCAATATTGGTAAGGAAGGAGGCATGAACTTTCTGTTTAAATGCTATTCTGCGGGCGGA